ATGTGAACAAATTAAACGTTTTATTACTTTTTTTCAATCCATAAAATGCGAATCAGTCCCACAGAAGCATTTTGTGAATTTCTAAAATGCAATTTGATACGTGAATAACTCGACTTTGGTTTCCAATAGAAAATCTGTGTTTGGCACATTATCAATCAACGAAGCAAACACACTACACAACTGGTATCTCATTTCCCTCATGCACACTATTCAATTGAGGCCAAGAGGGAAGTAAAGCAGACCTGCGGGTCCTGTATCCGCCCGATGCCAAGTGAAGGAAAGAAGATTGCATCGTACAAAGGGACAAAGTTCCCCAACAATTACATGACACCGGGCGCATGGCAAAGAAGCCAAACCTGATGAGAGATTAAAACTTGAATTAATCATAAAGCAGCTATGGGAGGGGACACCTTTTTAAATTGCATTTTGTATTTCATAGTCACTTGTAATTATCTCTGTTTTGTGGTTGTAACAGATGTGCAGTATATGTAAGTGCGTTGCTCTGTAAATGCTTCTTTTCTACTTCAATTGAAGGTTGTGGCGGGGAGCATACTTTTACCAGCAGTCAATAACTTTGTCATTCTACAGCAAACAATGTCTCAGGAAGAGCTGAATACACAATTAATACATCCACCCTCGCCACACGACTCAAACACACCGCACAATAGATATGAAGAATGCACAGGACCACTTGAATCAAGAAACATTTATTGACATACAAGGATCATGACTTGGTGCATAACATCAGACAGTAAGACGATGGACGATAGTAACATAGTGCAAGAAAATGTTCAATTGACAAATTTACAATTTAACTCTAGGTCTCCCAGTAGGACTTTGGAGTCCCCTGCTGGAGCCCCATGCAGGACTCCATTCAGGGTCTCCTAAAAGGCTGAATACTCTGAGCTGCTGTTTGGTGCATATCCACAGACAACAGTCAGAGTTTTCCTTCGGCTCCTTCCCCCCCAGAGAGGTTACGTTCCACGTCCCCAGAGCCAGCATCTGCCCCCCAGGTCTGTTCCGTCTAGACCCCCCACTGTCACTCCACCCTTGTAGCAGCGCACCCGACCCCATCGGTTTCCTCCACAGGTGGTGAGCCCATGGGGAGTGTTATCGGTAGTAGCAATAGTAATTTGACTTTTACAAATGACTACTAATTAAAGTCACCAAGTGTATCGTTTGGCCGTAATCTTTTGTGTGTGTGCTGCCAAGAGAGAAAAGCAATGTCTTTTTAAGCTCTTTTACAGCTTAAAAAGACATTGCATAATGAATGCACAGGACTATAGGTCCTCTCTGCCACAACGCAACCACAGTCACTGCCTTTGACTTTGGTACCAATGGCAGTGTAGTGAAAAGCCAACGTTTTTTGGGCTAAATGTCCATTCACAGTGTCCATCCATCCATCCATCTTCAGCTGCTTATCCGGGGACGGGTCGCGGGGTAAACAGCTCCGGCAGGGGACCCCAAACTTCCCTTTCCCGAGCCACATCTAACAGCTCTGACTGGGGGATCCCAAGGCGTTCCCAGGCCAGTGCAGAGATATAATCTCTCCACCTAGTTCTGGGTCTTCCCCGGGGCCTTTTCCCAGCTGGCCGTGCCTGGAACACCTCCCTAGGGAGGCGCCTAGGGGGCATCCTCACCAGATGCCCCAAACCACCTCAACCGGCTCCATTCGACGGAAAGGAGCAGCGTCTCTACTCAGAGCTCTTCATGAATAGCTGAGCTTCTCACCCTATCTCTAAGGGAGACACCAGCCACTCTCCTGAGTAAACCCATTTCGGCTGCTTGTAATCGTGACTTCGGTCTGATAATCAAAAGTTCTTTTCATGGGTTTAGTTGAGGGTTTGCTGTCTTGTCTTGAATTAAGAGTTAGGTAAGGGGGGAAAGCAGGATGTGCCGAGCAGGCAGACACGAGTCTGACAGGATGGGGAGTCAGTTTATGTCCTGGCTGAGGAATGCAAGGTCTGCGGGTCAACTAGCAGATTTACCAGCCAAAGGGGGGTTAGAGACACACCAACACTATTCAACATACACACTCTGTTCGCTGATGTTTACGTTAAGTCAGGAGTCTGGACATTGGGTGTGACCGGATCTTTAGATGCGGGAGGTGGAAGGTCCTCTTCTACGCCAGTTTAGGGCCAATAGAAATCTTTCCTTCTCTGTCTTTCAAGGGTTATAAAACATGATGTTCTTGCTGAAGTTAGTGAGTTGTTCTTCCGGCCTGTGTGCTGCCTGAACTGCTCCTGCCTTTGCAAACGCAGCGCTGATACTTGACCTGTGATTTGACAAATAAATTTCCCAGAACGAGAGAAGTCGTTCGTAGTTGGTAGAAGTTGGTAGATCGAGAGCTTTGCCTTCCGGCTCAGCTCTCTATTCGTCACAACGGTGCGGTAAAGCGAGTGCAATACCGCCCCTGCTGCTCCGATTCTCCGGCCAAACTCACACTCCATCTCCCCTCACTCGTGAACAAGACCAAGGTACTTGAACTCCTTCACTTGGGGTAAGGCCACATTCCCTACCTGGAGTAGGCAATCCATCGGCTTCGTGCTGAGAACCATGACCTCAGATTTAGAGGTGCTAATCCTCATCCCAACCGTTTCACACTCGACTGCGAAACGCTCCAGTGAGAGTTGGAAGTCACAGACGGAAGATGCCATCAGGACCACATCATCCTCATCCCAACCGCTTCACACTCGACTGCGAAACGCTCCAGTGAGAGTTGGCGGTCACAGACAGAAGATCCCATCAGGACCACATTATCTGCAAAAACCAGCGATGAGATCCGCAGCCTCCCGAACTGTAGACCCTCCTCCCCCCGACTACGCCTCGATATCCTGTCCATGAAGACCACAAACAAGATGGGTGACAAGGCGCAGCCCTGGCGAAGGCCAACCCCCGCCGGAAAGGCCTTTGACTTACTGCCGAGCACCCGAACACAGCTCTCGCTTTGGGCGCACAAGGATTGGATGGCCCCAAGCAAGGACCCCTTCACCTCGTACTCCTGCAGCACCTCCCACAGTTTCTCTCGGAGGACCCGGTCATACGCCTTCTCCAAGTCCACAAAACACATGTAGACTGGATGAGCATACTCCCAAGCCCTCTCCATGATCCTGGAAAGAGTGAAGAGCTGGTCCATTGTTCCACGACCAGGATGAAAACCGCATTGTCCCTCTTTAATCCTTGGTTTGACTATCAGCCGAACCCTCCTTTCCAGCACCTTGGAGTAGACTTTACCCGGGAGGCTGAGTAGTGTAATACCCCTGTAATTGGCACACACTCTCTGGTCTCTCTTTTTGAAGAGGGGCACCACCACCCCGGTCTGCCACTCTTTTGGCACTATCCCAGACTTCCACGCAATGTTGAAGAGGCGTGTCATCTAAGACAGCCCACCAACACCCATTGCTTTTAGCATCTCTGGACGGATCTCATCACGTGTGCATTGAAGTCTCCCAGTAAGACTATGGAGTCCCCTACTGGAGCCCCACGCAGGACTCCATTCAGGGTCTCCAAAAAGGCAGAATACTCTTAGCTTCTGTTTGGTGCATATGCACAGACAACAGTCAGAGTTTCCCCCCCATCACCCAAAGGCGTAGGGAGGCAACCCTTTTGTCCACCAGGGTAAACTCCGATGTAGCGGCACTCAGCCAGGGACTTATGAGTATCCCCACACCCGCCTGGCGCCTCACACCATAACCCTAACACTAACCCTCATATCCAGGAGTAGGATAGGGGATGGACTCAGAACCAGGAGTAACCATGGTTCCAGAGCCGAGGCTGTGTGTAGAGGTAAGCCCCACCAGATCCAACTGATAACGCTACATCTCCCGCACAAGCTCCGGCTCCTTTCCCCCCAGAGAGGTTACTATTATTATCTTAAATTATCTACACCAATAAGTGAACTATTGAAATGAGTCAATAAAAAGAGCAAATACTGTTCACTTAATATTTAAATCAAACACAACCAACAAAAAAAAATAAGCCATGTCAAAAGAAGAAAACTTCAGACAAATCGATGACTTAAAACAAACCACACAATACAACAAACACATGCAAGACAGCTGCTCTATCACTGTGTCACTCCCTTCAACACACCAGAAAGCCCCACAAGAAAATAAAACTTAAAAAGGCCCATAGAATTGGCTTATTAAAAAGCCTACCATATACTAAATATGGGAAAAACAAAGGTTGTCCCCAATGTCTGTCTGGACATGTCCACGGTTCCTTACCCCAGCTGGTGATTGAGATAATTGCCCCTCGCCAAGCAAGACCAATCACTTAGCCACAGGTGTGTGTGAATCACCAGGATGAAATGCCCAGGTGAGCATCCACCCCCTTTGATAAGCTCTGCCCCTTAGCATGGGTCCTAACAGGGGGCTGCCCTTTTTCATGCCTTGCCAAATGATCTGACAGGGTGGAGGTTTGCTCCGTCTCACCTCCCATTAAATACATTACATTCATGTCATTTAGCTGACGCTTTTATCCAATGCATTCAACCATAGGGATACACTCAACGATACACATACGCTCAACAGGGAGGGATGATTGAACTTTGCTTATGTTTGGTAAAACTGCACAGGTGGTGCATGTGTAGTTCTGTTTAGCAGTGCACTGACACCAAACGAGTGTGCTGTTAAGCCAAATGAGCCTTACAGGATGAAAGAACTGGCGATAGCAAGCATGCAGGAAGTAGAAGTCATTAGGAAGAAAGTTATGACAAAATGGAATGATGGAGGTTTGACTAAACACAAATGCTTCGGAAACTGTTGTAAGCACCGAACAGAAGGGAGGAAATATTTGAATGTGTTTCCACACAGATTGAAAGGGCGTGTGTTTGTTGATTAAAGAAACTGCTTTTATTATATTGCTACGCACCACGTATGAAGCAGAAAGAATGCAATGTTATTTTTATTTTTTTTCAGGTAACACACGTTTGGTGAGAAGGACAAACACCCCCCTGCACAATAGGTCGCGGTCTGAAGCTGTTTGCGAGCCGCCGTTCAGACCCCGTGAAAAAACATGAAGAATTTCCAACTCCCGTTTGTCCGACAGCAAGTGAAGGGAGCACGAGTCACGCGTTGTTTGTGTCAGAGGGGAAATATGGCGGACGATGGAGAATCGCTGGAGTCCTGGCTCAGTAAGTACACGCTTAAACTCCCCTTCCGCGTCGCTGGTTCATGCTAAAGGTGCGCACCAACGTGCCGCCGGGTCGCAGGTGTCTGATACCAGAGTTGGACTCAAATGACATTGTTTAAAACTGAGAAGTGTCGCGTTAAAGCGTCCGGGATGTCTGGAAAGTCGCTCGCGCAGACAGCAGCTGGCAAACGGCAAGGAATGGACGTCGCTAGCTGGAAAAAACGCTCTCATGTTCGGTTCATACTTGAGTCCTTGAGACTCAATGTCGATACGCTCGAACAACTGCATGTCGAAACAACTCTCGTGCTTGTTGTTGTTGTTTCGCTAGCTGGATTTAAAGCTTGTTAACAGTTCATACATCCAGCCTGCGTTCGCCTTAAAGGGACAGCGCGGCTCAGTCTATGGGAGAGTTCATATAAGAGATATAACATCACACCCTGAACTGTTTTTCTTTTTCTAGACAAAGCCACGAACCCGTCCAACAGACAGGAGGACTGGGAGTATATAATGGGATTCTGTGACCAAATCAACAAGGAACTGGAAGGGTAGGGTCACGCGGTTCACGCATAACGTTGTATTAAGCCCATCATCTGTGTCTTCATTGTGAGGAACATGTGGAGCTTATTATTCAGGCTGCACACCTCTGTGTGGCCTTTTTTTTTTTTTTTGGTTACCAAGTTTGCATTTGATTGTTTTCTGTCATATTTTTCAGCCCACAAATTTCCGTTCGGCTGCTGGGTCACAAGATCCAGTCCCCCCAGGAGTGGGAGGCGATACAGGCATTAACGGTCCGTAAATTCCGCTCCTCCGCTGTGTTTTGGGGGGGATGTTAATCTGCGTGAGGTAGAGGAGGATATTTGCTTCAGGTTGCTTTCTTTTTACAGGTTCTCGAGGCTTGTATGAAGAACTGTGGGCGGCGTTTTCACAATGAAGTCGGGAAATTTCGATTTTTAAATGAATTGATCAAGGTGGTTTCACCCAAAGTAAGTCCCGTAAAGGTTCCTCAGGTTGGGGTATGTTTCCTTGGGTTAGAAGTTTTCGGAGGTCACTCTAAACCGTGCATGGGTCATTTATTTTAGTATCTCGGGGACAAAGTGTCAGAGGGAGTGAAGACGAAAGTGATCGAGATGCTGTACAGCTGGACCGTGTCTCTGCCGGATGAAGCAAAGGTCGTTGAAGCGTATCAGATGCTGAAGTCCCAGGGTGAGACGCCAACAGCGTACAAACTGAGACAAGAGATATATAACGTTTAATACAACGTGGTTGCATAATAGTAGGGGTGGGGGATAAAATCGATTTTTCGATTTCTCTCGATTCTCTCTAGAACGATTCGGTCTCGATTCAGAAAGGTTAATAATCGGAATTACATTTTTTTTTTTAAAAGTCTGTCTCGCGCGAGCAAAAGTTCATCTTGCGGAGCGTGAACTTCCTCGCTCGCAAGGTTAGTCTCTGCTTGCGCTCGAAGGTGTTTTCTACACGCTCGCTCTTTTTCTTTTTGACAGTAAGGGTGGCGGAGCCAGTCACCATGGTCTCTACATCTGATTGGTTACAAAGCCCGTCTTTGGATTGGCTGGAGTGATGCATTCACACAACTATAGAAGCCCATTTCCGCACTAATGTAGGGGGATAAAAAGCGAAATTATGAGATAAAACGTTGTCAAAAAACAAACGCCCCCCTTCGGTAATCATAGTGGCCCGTAGATGACAACCAGGTACAACCATTATTACCGGCACATTAAGAGCAATGCGTCCAGCTCGCGGACCGGTCCGTCAGTCTGAATCTGAATATCTTGCCAACTTTACTGAACTATGAAGGAGCCTGCGCATATCTTACCTCATTATTTCGATTTTACAAAAAGTCGATCCGTATTGAAAGTTGGCATGACATTCACAGATTTTGACTTTTTTCCGGTATTTTACAAATACGGACTGGTCTGAGACTTAAGAGCAGCTTTTTCTTCATTTAAAAGAAAAATGAATCTTGTTTAATTTTTTTTTTTACATAGGCTACTTCCATATTGTGTTGAAATGCAAGCTGCATTGGTTCTTGCATTGTTGATAGAAAATCATATTTGTGACAAAGATTTTTTTTTCTCTTATAAAAAATAAGAGAAGGTAATTCATCTGTTGATTTTCTTTAATTATCAAATAAAGTAGGAAGTTATTAGCAACCTCTGAGTTGCAAACTCAGATTTGAGAAAATTTTGAAAATCGAGATGCATCGATAATCGTTTTATCAGTTTAGAATCGATAATCTGTTTAGAATCGAATCGTTGACCTCTGACTCGGAATCGAATCGTGAGGTGCCAAGAGATTCCCACCCCTACATAATAGTGACGTTAAAAAAAGACAACTACTCCGAGCAGTCGGTTATGACATTGTTGTGCCTGAAACTGTCACTTGCACGACGTAACAGCCGTCTGTTGTCATGGTTATTTTAGGTATTGTTTTAACTGACCCAGAAGTTCCCCTTGATGCTACGTTTATACCATCGCCTTCTCCGCAACCCAAGAATCCCTTGTTTGATGACGAGAAGAAGAGCAAGGTAAGAAGAGAGAAGAGTTATTTTGGGATGTGATTATAATAACTCTCTGTGGGAGAGAAATTGTGTTTAAAAGATTTCCAATGAAAAGTTTTATTCTTACAACATTCTGCAGCTTTGGAGTTAAAGTATCGGAGGACTTTTAAAGGAATCATTTAAAGGGCCCCTTTTTTACCATGCATTTTCTGTCGGTATCGAGTGACAGCGGGGCAGACGCTGAACGGGCTGCAATGTAATGGCTCAAAGTTAGGAGTTAAATCTGGAATTTGACGAGCCATGGGTTAAAAAAAAAAGCAATGTAAGTCGCTTTGGATAAAAGCGTCCGCTAAATGATCTGTAATATTACCTGCAACACAAAAACATGGGAAAAATATGGTCCACAGGTTGAATGAGTTGCTATTTGCTAAGTAAGCTATTAACCATAACACACGGTGCATTGAGGTGTTTTAAATGGTTCTCTTGCCCTGTTGTGGTTCTCGCTCACTGAGAAGTCGGGGGCATCACACAGAAAAAGTAGTCATACTTTTGATGTGGATTTACGATGCTGCTCTTTGTTGATATTACCGCTCTAAATACCTCACGGGTCGCTGCATACTGAAAAATGTCATGTTTGCTTTACTTTGACTGCCACTGATGTGTGGGTGAATTTAGTTTTTCCAGGCTGTGGGAGCTTGTGTCTGTGTGTGACCTGTGGGGTATGTTTTCTCTCTCTCAAGAGATTAGCAGAGCTGCTGAAGAGCAAAAAGCCGGAAGACCTGCAAGAAGCCAATCGGCTCATCAAGAACATGGTGAAGGAGGTGGGTCAAGTGAACTGCTTAAATTCTTACCATTTTTTATATATATATTAATTTATCTTTTTTTTTTTTTTTTTTTTGACCCTAAACCCAAGTTTGAAGCTTGAAGACACACCGTGCTCCGGTTCTGTCTCAAAGTTGGTACTGTCAAGTCTACAGAGTATGTGCAACTCTTGTTTATTTTGTTTTCCTCCACCAGGACGAGGTGAGAACCCTCAAAGAGAAAAAGCAGAGAAGCACCTTAGAGGCGGTGAACAGCAGCGTCAAACTGCTTACAGAGATGCTCTCTCACTTCAGCCCCGAGGAATCCACAGACGGAGACAAGGAGCTCATTAGGGTTTGTTTCTTTATTTTGAGACGGGGCTCACATGACCTTTGGAAACAAATCAACTCCAACTTTGGCATTTATTGCATTTTTTGGAAACACTCTTACTTAATAGTTTGACTGTACGGCCGTGAAACAGTCCAAAGTCATTGACTGCTGTTGCAGTTAAACTTTGAAATGGAAACCGCCTCTTTGTGAGACCAACCAATCTGGTTTTAAGTACCTGGTGTCTTAAAGAAGAACGGTTTATTTAAAAGTGATTTTAATTTTTCCAGGAGCTGTATGGCGATTGTGACAAGCTGAGGCAAACTGTGTTTCAGCTGGCCACTGAGACAGAGGATAATGACAGCAGCTTGGGTAAGAGATCCTAGAAATGTTCCCTGAGTCATCGGCTCGCGCTGAGTCAACCGGCGTCCCACAGACAGCCAGTTCACTCATTAAAAAAAACAAAAATTAAACCCATCCTGCTCACATGATTCCTACACTGGGCAACTGCTGCGGGGAATAGAATGAGATGGTTCTTTCGGTTGTCAGAATGTTACAAACCTGGACTAACCTTCTTTTTAAATGCATTGATTAGGAGACATCCTGCAGGCCAGTGATGACCTCTCCCATGTCGTTCAATCTTATAAGAAGATTGTGGAAGAACAGATCGTCAATGGCGGGACTGAGGATGCACAACAAACACAATTATCAGTCAGACAAGGTACACTTCAGCTGTTCAGAGCAGAGAATTGCATCTCTTCGCTGTGCATGTTTTATATGGCATCATTCACATCTATTGTTACTGCATCTCCTTATATTTTCTTGAACAGGTTAATCAGCCATTTAGTAGAGATATACGTTTTCTAAATCACAACGTTGTTTTACACATTCGTAATTGAAGACTTATGCACATGTTTACTCTCTATAAATGGGACCATTCCGGCTCCTTCGTGTTTCTGAAAGACGGTCCGCACATTTAATTGTCCAATAAAAAGAAGACTGCGGGACAAATACCCCAATAACCCCAATGTGCGACGCAGCTGTGAGCGAGAGAATTCTTTTTTAAAGCAATAAGGTACGAGATGATTATTGTCTCATAATCTAACAGTTTGGGGTTGTTAGGCCACAACACCCCCAAACTGTTACATTGGCTTTAATAGCCTGTAATGTAATTAGATAGATAATACATTTAAAAAAATTATCTACGCTAGACACCAAATACCTCAAGGTAATTTCCTTGTGCTGTAGTTGATAAGAACTTACTAACAACAAAGCAGTTTTTTTCAGTTTATGTGCAAAATGGGAGTCATTAATAAAGTAATAATTATACAACAATTAAAAAGCGACTTTGTAAAACAGAATACGTGCTCCCAATGTGTAATTATCAGAAGCTTTGTTTCAACTCCCTTGACTTTGCTAATGGTGCTCTTTGGCGGAAAATGTATTTAATTTTCAAAAAAAAAGTTAATTATCATGTTGAAAAGCTTGAACGTAAATAAATCTTTGATTTTTCTCTTCTGCTTTTTGTTTTTTCTTCATGTCACAAGCGCAGGTCGCACAAACCGGTCCGAGGTTCTGATTGACCTGATGGGTTTGGCCGTCTCCCGGCCCCCAACGTCGCCCCTGTCCCTCCCTGCTGACCTGCTGTGTGGGTCTGCTCCCGGGGGGCCGAGGGCCACCGGCCCCGCTGCTCCCTCTGCTGCGCTCTCCCTGCTGGATGAGGAGCTGCTCTCTTTAGGTGATCATTTATTTATTTGTCATGGCAATGTGGAGCATTATCAAAAGCCAGTTATTGCAACTTAAATCGGCCATCAGTGTAAAACCATAGTGATTCACTTTGACACGACAAAGAGGAAAAATATATTTTAAAAAGGATATGTGCTTTCCACGTTATTTCAGAATATATACATGTACTTTTATGACATGTTTTGTCTTCATTTACAGGCCTCAATGAGCCCGCTCCTGCTCCAAATAAATCTGCACATGTGAACTTCAACAACGGTTTGCCATCTTTACAGGTATTTCAATAAATTAAAATACTGTGTACTAAAGTTAACTGTTTTCCTATTGGTAACAGCAACTTATTTTTTTTTTTTTTTTTTTTTTGTCAAATTTCCTCCTGTTACAGGATTCCGGTCACAATTTAGATTTTTTTGAAAGCACTTTGCCTTCGGCTTCCGCGTCAGCGATGTCGTCGCTCTTTCCAGACGCCCTTCCTGTGACGGCAGACCCAATTCACTCGGCAAAGTCTTCCATAGCTGCTTCTGCCTCAAGCCTCCCTGGTCCTGTGTCCTCCACGTCTCCGGTCTCTACACTGTCCATCTCAACAACATCGGTCGTCTTTCCACAGTCCTTCAGCTCAGCATTGACCTCCGCGGCTCCTGCTCGGTCATTCCACATGGCCTCGCCTCCTCTCTCCGCTTCGTCCGGAGCGTCCCACCCGACTGCTCTGAGTCATAATCTGCAGGACCTTGCCATGCTGGACCTGGGCAGTCCTAAAATGTGAGTAAGAGTCTTTGCACAAGGTAAATATGAGGATGGAATATGGATCAGAGCGATATTTTGGATGCTAGATCACATTTTTTTATACGTATTAAATGTATGCTTTTTTTATTTCACTGATGTCCAAGGTCTTGATTTTAGCTGCTTAACATTTGTGGCGTACACTGTGTATAGCGCACACTTAAAGTGACGTTACACTGCCACTAGGTGGCTGCAGTAGGTCAGATTGCTTTATTAAACAGCGAGGCACTGACTACAAATAAGTACGTCAACCTCGCTTTAAAAACTCTTATTATGGTTATTTTTATCTCACTGATCATGAGCAGGCGAGACAGTTGAGTCAAATTTGATGCAACATGTGAAATGCCGCTGTAAATTCCTCATCAATCATGTTGTGAGCTGAGGTTATTAAAATGCCCCCAATCTCATCTCAAAAGCCATGTGCCTTTTCATTCCGCTCACGGTAACCAGACGTGACTGCGTTTGTTTTGAAATACCTGCTGGTGTCTTTGTCCCTGTGTCTGTTCTCTCCACCTCGTCCATGTTTGTTCGAGCATTATGGGATCTGGGAAGTTTTTGACAAAGGCTCTGGAATTATCCCCACAGCACACCGGCCGTGGTGGACTTCAGCAGCTTGCTGGTGAAGAGGGACGACCTGCTCGCTCCCGCTGCCCCGTCCTCCAGCGCCGGAGTCGCCTCCACAGTCACCTCGCTGCTCCTCGGGGAGGCGCTGGCCGGGTCCACTCCTCCGCTTGCCAAGAGCCAGGCGGAGGACAGCACTCTGTTACGCTCCCTCTCCCCCATCCTGCCCCTAAGCCAGGCCAGCCAGGGCACAGGACGAGAGGTGTCCCTGGCCAACGTCTTCGTCCCTTTGGATGCCATCAAGCCAAGTGAGTTGGTCTGATGGTTGTTTCTTATTTCTGTGGCTTTTTATTGTAAATATAGGTGGTAGAAAGTTGGAAGAAAAATGACCACAAAGACCTCAGATCTGATATTTTGGACGTGCAAGTATAAACATCAGTTTAATTAGGGTCCATTCACTTTTAAGAAATAACCTCCCTCTATGTAGCAGGGCAGACGTACCGTGCATACACACTTTTAATCTTTTTGGCCGGTTGCCGTATCGATGACGTAAATTATGCCTGACCTCTGGCATGAGGAAATTCCCTTTTTACAGCGTGTGTGTGAAGTAGCGGCAGAGTTGACACCCAACCAAGTCATAAGTCAAGGCTACTCAAAGGTTTCCTTATCTTGGAATGATAAAGCCTTAGATAACACAGATACTAAGCAGGTGCTGCAGGACCAGCTCATGACAGTGAGAGTTGTTATTCAGGATTGTAGGAGACCGGTGACTCACTTTTTTTACAACTAGATAACACAACTTTACATCAGCAAATCCTGGTATCTTGAACATGCCTAGAGCACCATGTGTCTCAGTTCAAGAGGTCACAGACTTATCTGTCCATTAAGACAAAACATTATTTAGGTTTTCTCAACACAGAGGACAATAACTAACGAGACCAATTTCAAGATCAGTTAAAGAGTAGTCTTTGTAGTTTAAGTAATGTCAGAAAATAAACCCTTCCTCCGTGTTTAAGAATTATGGGGGATTGTAAAACTGCACTGTAGACATTACTGCCACCTAGTGATAAAAGTGGCTCAATAAAGCCCCCCCCCCCCTCTGTTCTTGGTCTTTTTTCGTGAGCATTTCCACTGTGGATCTGAGTAATTTTCACCCATCATGGTGTGCTTGTGACGACTCCAAAGCTGTCGTTTAGATCTCTGTAATAATCACATTTTGCTTTCACCCTGTGTGTAGGTAAGGTGTGTCCCGTGACTGCTTACGACAAAAACGGAGTGCGTGTTCTGCTGCATTTCGCCAGCGACTGTCCAGCGGGCCGCCCCGATGTGCTGGTGATGGTGGCGTCCATGCTCAACACAGCGCCGCGGCCGGTCCGGAACATCGCTCTGCAGGCTGCTGTGCCCAAGGTGAAATCCCCGTCACTTTTTATTTACCAACAACAACAACAGAAAGTATTTGCTGACGTTTGACTCATTAGATTAAAAATGTCACTTTGAATAAAATCAAAGTGGGCGGTTAATGACCATGGCTGTCTGTTCTGCTAATTCACCAGACGATGAAAGTGAGGCTCCAGGCGCCCACAGCGACGGAGCTGGCTCCTTTTAACCCGATCCTCCCGCCTGCTGCAATCACCCAGGTCATGCTGCTTGCAAATCCTCTCAAGGTAAATCTCAGCTGGGAGCTGCTTCTGGTCCTTAGATTATTTTATGCATCAAGTGAGGTATTTATTGATGGAACGCTTTCTAATGCTAGCTATGTTTTTTTTTTTTTTTTTTGATGCCTCCCCGTAACCCACAGCTGTGACCAGATACGTTACGTTTGTAGGTTATCCATCTGTCCGTCTGGTCTCTTTTTTTTCTTTATCCGAAACCTCCAATTGGACTCCAGCTTAAACCTGTGGGATTTTGGCAATCAAAAGTCACTTTGACCACACAAAACTCATTTTTTACCCATGACTATTTTACATACTATTAATGGCAAGTGCACACAATTCAAGTCAATAGGATGAAATGGTTTGGACAGACATAAATGTAAACTGCCCCAGACTGGTTGGCGGAGGCGTGCAGCAACGAGCAGGTAATTCCAGTCCTGCGTACAAGTATCATACTGTTGCTGCTAGTATCGCTCGTTCTTTCAGTCGCACATACCGACCATAACTTTGAGGATATAATCATCACTGAATTTTACAATCCTTTAGATCTTGTGTGCTGCAGTGAGTCAATGAAAGCTGCCAAAGCGTATGTGTGTTTGTGTGTTTCAACAGGAAAAGGTGCGGATGAGATACAAACTGATGTTTACGCTGGGAGAGCAGCCGCACTCGGAAGTTGGGGAGGTGAATGAGTTTCCGCCTACTGACAGATGGGGGGCTCTATAGCCCGGCCTGCCGACTGCAAGACAATTTCATTTTGGAAAAGGGCAGTGCTGGAAGACTTGGCGAACTAATTGAGTGTTTTTCTGCTTGAGGTGGCCCCACTGAATGCCCCGTACATCCAACTTAAACGTTACTACAGCGCCACAGGTAGTCAGTGTGGTGCAGGAACACGATTTTCATCATGTCAAATATAGTTAAGTTATTATTCATTTATTATGTGTATTATTGTTAATAATGTCATATCTATTTGTTCTTATTTTGATGTTCATATTTACTCTCAATGCTAAAAAGTCAGCAAAACAAAAAAAAGAATGTTGAAGGCGACTGTGAAGCCTGGGTTGTATGAACATGTGACCAGGACCTGCACTTCACATGGTTTGCTGCTGCCTGTGTATGTGTAACAACGTTTTACGCTTGGACATCGGATTGAAGCATACAAAAGACCATGTGTTGCTACACAAAAAGGAACCCACAGACCGGCCCGTCAACAATACTTGTCTTGGGAGTTCTACACTAACTCGTAGCTCAGACGCTTCTTACGCTTTTTAGTATTTATTGACATGAATGTCTTATTTATTTTTGGGAACGATTTCAGATCATTCCATCTCCTGTGTGGTATTTCCATCAATGGTTGCATTCCTTCTTCACTGTTGAAGTGTTACCTAATATTCAGGAATGAATCAACAGGGTGGATCGTAAGGAAACACGGTTTTCCTTCATGTCCGGGCTGTGCGCTTTGGATAGCATCCTAATAAAAATGTGATTCCCGCCATGAGGAAACCTTCGCCAGAGACCGAAAGCCCTTTTACTTGGTAGGTGCAACATGAGCTATTAAGGCCCCGAATCGATTGTGTGCAATGGCTAATCCCTGAAGACAGGAATATTGTTTGACCGTAATTAAATGGAGTGCATAGCGTTTGCTCCTGCTGCCGTTGTTAGACAGTGAAGCGGAAACTAAGCTAGAAGGGTGGATGATTTCCCTGGAGTCCTACCTAAATGTTTCGCTTTGTGGTGGGGCTCTCCTTAATCAATTTAGGAGCATAGTTCTTTTAGCAAGCCTTGAAGAAATACTGTAAATCATGATTGATTGAAAACCTTTGTGATTACTTCATAGAATCAGGATTACTGTGTGTCAAGAACGAGAACTGTGATTTCTTTCTTTTCGTCTTTTTAAGGCTACTTGGGCTACATCTTATAAAACCTATTTGTTTTACTTTGTTACATGAAAGTGTCGTTGCATATTTGGAAAAGCTACTCCTCTGCATGGAAAAATAAAGGAGGTTGATTCGTTTTACAATTTTCACGTTTTGCCTTTTTTTTTAATCAGTGTGCAGGGACTAATATTAATGCAGTAGAGAATAACCTGCACTGTTGGGTGTGCTTTATTCTATTTATTAGTAGCACACTGTAAAATAAGTAATAAAAACAACGTAGTAAACGTGTGCATGTAGCAGAATGCTCTCTGCCATCATTATATAGATGTAATAAGTGTTCATTTGATAACATGTAAACACCATATGGATGTTGCGCATTATTCTGCGTGTAAAATCAGAGAAGTAACCAGTATCTCGCACATGTATGTGTTTAGTAGATCAATTACATTAAAATCATCCTATAATACTTATGGTATCAATTTGCAGAATTAACAATTCTGTATGAGCACACATTTAAACGGGCTCTCTGGAAAGCTAGTAGGACGAGCGCTCCGTCCATGTGGCGCAGCTGTGCGCATCTCAGCCCGCTACAGCGCACGCCGAGTGGCGCGCCAGACAGCGCAGCCGCAGCAGAACAGGCGCAGGCAGACAGACGCAGTAGCAACAGCAACCATGGCCGACGAAAAACCCAAGGTGAGGAGCGGCGTTCGTTTTCTTTACTGGGTGTACTTAATGTGTGTGTGGTAGGTTTACAGACGAAAGCGGTAAAACCAAAAAGCCGCCCGTGAGATTGATTCGCCAACAGTTGGAAAATGATAAACCGGGCAAACTGCACAAACGGGCGCTGAGCCTAACCGCGTTAGCCAATTAGCAAGCGGGGGGAAGTTAGCATAATAAGCTAACGTGGCTAACGCGCCTGAGAACCGGGCGATATGAAATAAATAATTTACGGTAATTTTTATTGCACCTCATTCGGTGACGCTGCCGGTTTAAACGCTATGCACGTCAAATGTGTGGATATAGTTGTTGTATGTTAAAGAAACGTTAGGAAGATGACGCTGGCGGAAGATATGGTAGCGTCCAGAGAGCTGTCTCCCACGGGCCCCGAAAACTAACAATTGTTTTAACTCTAACCGTCAAGTGTGAAGCGGGTATCTTATGAAATATTAATGCACCTCCGCACACGCCAGTGTGTCCGAGCATTGGAGGAGTTGTTGATGCGTCAGAGTTAAAATTCCTATTCTCACTAGGCCGTTGAGCATTGTTTTAAGTAGCAGGCCCTTGCTAATCGACTCCCTGGATGCTAATGCTAACGTGGGAATTTAATGTCGCTACTTTTCTCTGCTCTGTAACACCAGGTCCTCCCGTCTCAGCTCTCCAGCTGCGCATATCAGATTCATGTAACAGTAGGGGGGAAGTAGCTTCCAACCGTGAAGTGGATAGTTTTTTTTGTGGCTACTTTGGATATAAAACGTATACTAAACTATATTGTCAAGAGCTACCTGGATCTTGAATTTCCACTCGGGGATCAATATAGTACTTCTATTCTAAATCATCCAGGTACACAATGTGCATCTCAAGCAGTGTGTGTCCTGAGCGGAAGAGGTTTTGCTGTTGATGGGGCAAACTCATTTCCACAAGTTACTTTACCAACCGTCTTGGATTGCCTTGCATCACTTTCTGCTATCAGCTCAACTTTCTGAAAACATCTGCTGTCTTTCTTTCAGGAGGGAGTGAAGACTGAGAACAATGAGCACATCAACCTGAAAGTGGCGGGGCAGGATGGCTCAGTGGTGCAATTTAAGATCAAACGGCACACTCCTCTCAGCAAACTGATGAAAGCGTATTGTGAACGGCAGGTGAGACTGCACAATGATTACAAATCTCCTTAAGGATCCATCTTTAAGTGCATTGCAGGTGGTCTGAATGGTGTTGCTCAGACCGGAGGCCGGGGGCTCCGCTGAGGGATGATGGGAGTTCTGGTCAAATGAGAAGTGCCCCTCTCAAAGCAGCAGTTTTATGTCTTTGCGGTCTAAACCGAGGTGTGATTGATAACCGTAGTAAAGGTCCTGTTATGGTCCATGTGCCCATAATTCAGTGGGTTAATTACACCTGTGTTCACCCATTACATGTAAAAAGGGCTTGTTTTATGTGTTATTGCTCACAAAAAAAGATGACTAAGCTCATAGAATTCGAACAATAAACCGTATGCTCATGGGGAAAAAAACTCATTTTTATGGTATAAATTATTGGAGTAGAATCAATAATGTTTTGAGGTATTTACCAAAGTCTTGCTAATGGCTAATATTTCGTGGTTTATCATAGAAACTTGTTGGTTGGAAACGTCTCTCTAAAAACATGGCCGCTATGCAGGATTGTTCTTTGTTGCAGATCTTTGGAATTCAAAAGTCACTGGGGCGTCCCATGAGGTTGATAATAACTCTTCTCTCTGTCCATACAGGGGCTGTCAATGAGGCAAATACGATTTCGATTTGACGGTCAGCCCATCAATGAAACGGACACCCCCTCGCAGGTAAATCTTTAGCCTGTTCTGTGGGCCCACAAACTTCATAGAATTCAAGGACGGCTGCGTTACGAGGACGGGATTTACAAGGGTTAAAGTTCAAATGTTTGTTCTCAAACTTTGTTTAAATCTTCTGAATCCGATTTAAAATCTTTGCCTTTACACTATATTGGAACCGTTACAAATGGCTGCTCCGTGCAGAGTCCACTCCGAGCACCTGCTGTGACTGTGCTTTTAATTTCCTTAGGAAGGACACTCTCTTGCGTCGGCTTTGTCCGTGTATGTTCACTTGCAGTGCTCCCTTTAAAACGCCATTGAGGCAGCTCTGAACAAATCTGCGTTGTTTTTGTAGCCGTGGACCACGTACATAAATGGCGCGTTTCCACCGAGCGGTATGGTACGAGTCGGAACCCTTTTATTTGTGTCTCCACTGCCAAAAGTTGAGAATGGTACCAAAAATCCGACCCGTACCCTTCCGTTGGGGTACCTGGCACAGTTGTTTGGTACTAAAGGGTGGAGCTAGACTCACTGCAGAACGTTGATTGGTTGCAAGTGTCATCATTTGCGTGTGCAAAGATTGTCGAAGATTGTCGTCTCCTTGTGACAAACAGCCACGTATCGAGAAGCAAGAACAGGATCGGCTCTATGTCCTCCATTGTTGTTTGCGGTTAGCTTTCAGTTTTCGCGCAAATGAATGACGTCAATCTACTTTCCGTCATATACCACGCCGCTCAAGTGACGTTATCACTACTTTCTGGAATACACCACGCCTATCAAGTAAGAGTACTGTTGGCGGTGGAAACGCTCGCCAAATCATGGTTAACAGACCCGACCCGTACCATACCGCTCTGGAAACGCGCCAAAAGACTGTCTGGTTTACTTTCATGTTGCAAGTCTCTGGTCAAGAGAAACTCTCCTAAGCTTCTGTACCTCCCAAATGAATGTAGATCTTTTGCTGTGCACCTTGTCTGAGTCAATCTCCTGTTTTCTGACCTACTCTTGTCCTGTATTATTCTAAGCAGGAGATGAAATGAAATGTATCCCCTGTACACGTGTCAAACTAACATCCTGGTGAAAAGCTTTGGATGAGTTTGTCGACCTCACTGACCGTGTTCACGAAGTGGCTTCACGGTAAAGATCTGCCTTCACATCAGCTGACATTTTGACTTTCTCTTGCAGCTAGAAATGGAGGACGAAGATACAATTGACGTGTTCCAACAGCAAACCGGAGGCTCTTTTCTTTCTTAAAGACTGTTTCCTACGAATATCCCTACCTCCCCTTTTCAGCCCCCAACATCTTTGTTATGCTTAGTCTTCAAACCCTCATGACCAGTGTTGATACCATCCAGTCAAAAATTTTACAAAATGTTCAAAGGCAGCGGCACTGTTGACGTAGATAGCTGTAATAACACTGTCATTCGTATGTTAACATGTTTTGACTGCGCAGTGGAGACTACTTGTAAGCTACAGCGAGTCTAATGTGCTGAAGAAATTAAAAGCTTGCCATGATACTTTGTCTTTTTTTTTTTTTTTCTTTTTTTCCTGGAGGTAATGGAGAGCCTACTGGTCCGGTTTTGTTTTTATACATATGTCATTGAGGTTTTGATTCAGATGGAATCATGTTATTTGTTAACATCAGTTGTTATGAAAATGTGTTATTGGAATAAATTGAGTCTTTTTTAAAAATATGTCCTTGCTTTTTTGCTTATGGTTAGTTTAAACCAGAGCATGTAATATATTTTCTCAGCAGAGATATGTACATTCATGCAAAAGAAGTCCATTCTTTGAAATATCAATATTTGCGAGCCTTTTACATCTGACTAGACAGGAAGTGAATCCATCTGCGATTCCGCAGCATGCCGCATCATTATTTTAAAGTTGTAATATAATAAATAGCTTTTCTAATACACGCTTAAAAAGATCGAATTTCGGGGTCCATATTTAATCGAATGCGATACATGCATTGCGGGTAAGTAATCCTTGGTTGGATTAATGTCTCAGGATCCAGTCAGAAGTAGCGGTTTGCTTGTGGGCGGTAGAAGCTCCACAAAGGGTTCTGTGGTATGGCGTTATATTTGTGCCACAATCCTGAGCGCGTAATTAAGCAGAGAATCACCGGTTTAGCCTCGAATACAAGCCATTTTTGTCTAAACACACAATGGATTTATTTAATTTTTTTCAGCCATAAATAAACTGATTAAATTAACATCTTGGGTTCAAATTAAATGATGAAATGGGATTTTTTTAGGGGTATACTAATTAGGTAAGGATGTTTTATTTCGAAAAATTTTACCGGAAGCGAAACCTCCTCTTCTGGTCACTTCCACGCGCGTCCAGTCAGATTGGAGGCAGGTTGATCGTTGGGAACCACGGGCTGGGACAGACAATGATGAGGCGCTGAACCGAAGCAAACCAAAGTGTAATTCGCTCGTATCCTGTCCGACATTTACACGTTCACGACTTCTTGCTCAGAAATGACGACGACCAAGAACTACCAAGGGATGGAGCCCGGTTCCAAAAGCAGTTCCAGGTAAAGACGCTCCGTTAGCCCCCACGACGCCAACGCGCCCAGCGTCCGCCAGCCTCAAAGCTAACGTCTCACAGCTCATCCTAAAATACACACGCGTGTTCATGCCCCGACCCCTGCTCGTAATTATTACACAACCGCTTGGAAATGCTGGGAACTTAAGCCCGGGGGCGACGATGCCGTGAGATACGCGGGTACCACACCTTCCCCCGTTGTGTCTGCCGGGATGGACCGGTCCCATTTTCCTTTTACGTTAGCTAGCAGCGTGAGTGCTCGCTCGCGTGCCCTCCCTTTCTCCGGAGGAGCTGCGCGGCGAGCACGCGCACACCGGGCGGCACGCGCAGCCGACATTGGGCCTCCTCGCCCGTAGTGCGGGTCTCCCCGTCGCTCTCGGTGCGGAGGGCGCATCGCGTCTGTCCTCCCGGTCGGGTGCGGCTCCTCTCCTCTCCTCTCCTCTCCTTCCTTCGTCGTCCGCGGACGAGCTGCGACCAGCGGAGGACAAGGCGTCGTTGTGCGCCGCGTGCGGCCCCGGGAGAGGCGCGAGGGCCCCGGTACAGCTCCCCGCACCTGACCGACGTGATTTTATCATCACACTCGAGGAAATACATAATCAATATTTAAATATAACGTTGATGGTGTAGGATACACAGTGTAAAGTTTACAGTTGAATATGCACACATTGTTAAGTTGAATGAATGCTATTCTCACAAAGGTCCTTGGTGCTGTCGAACTTAAATTGCATTTTACAATCATACAATTTCTTTTGTGTATGATTTTATGGAAATAAAATCGCTTAGAACGAGTAGTACACCTCTACATAACTTCTCTTCAAGGGTCCGTCATTGTTCTACCACCGAAGACCAGAATGGACCACAAGAGCACATTTGAGCGTTTCACTTGAGTCTGCCAGATCTAATTGACAGTTCTAAAATTCTATCCCAAGGATAGCTCATTGTTAAATTAAGCAAAATATAATTTATATTTGAGTGTGAATGAACAATCACCTCTTCCTCTTTGATTACAAACATTCCACAACAATCAAGCACATTTTTAAAAATCCAGAGTGACTTTGGCTCATTAGAGACCACGGTCGTCTTTTAGTCAGATGATCCCCGGCTCCGCTAGCGTCCCTGTCTTTGTGTCCTCTGCCGAAGGCACTTACACTCAGGTCCATAAATATTTGGACATTGACACTTTTTTCATTATTTTGGCTCTGTACACCACAACAATGGAGTTGAAATGAAAAACAGGGTGGCCACTTATACATTTGTTGTGGTTCCTACACTGTTCACCTGATTTCGATGTAAATACCCTCAAATTAAAGCTCCACTTAAAGCACATCTTGATTTTTTCATTTCAACTCCATTGTTGAGCTAAAATAATGAAAAATGTGTCAATGTCCAACTATTCATGGACCTGACTACGACAAATTGGTCCCGTAGCAGTGACTACTGTGTGTGAGTGTTTGTCACTGATGGGAAAGTGTCAATGTGTGTGGGAGCGCTGGTCATCAGTGTGTGAATGGGTGAATAATGACATCTAGTGTTTAAGTGCTCTTGAGCGCTCAGAAGACTAGAAAAGCGCTCTACAACTGCAACCCATTTCCCACAAATCTTCTGTGAGACGGAGAGAAGACGCTTCAGACCAACCGGCCCGCACGGTGCAGCTTCCAGCGGCGACTGACTGATCTCTCTCTCCTCAGGGTTTTGCGCCCTCCTGGCGGCGCCTCCAACTTCTCGCTGGGTGCAGATGAGGAAAAGCCCCCCGTCCGGAAAGACAAGATGGCCTCCAGCGTTTTCGCTGAGCCGGAGGACCCCTACGCCAATAGAAGGAACAACCCACCAGGTACAATGGAAACCGCTATCTTATGCGGCATTTATGGACTCAAAAAACAGTTTGAGAATATTTTTTTCTGGCCTTTCGGAGGTCCAAGTTTGTTACTGAAGGTTTTTGTCTTGACGGACGGTCTGCTATTTAAATCCTCGGGCCTGAATACATGGTAATGTAATTTACCGTCTCCACTGGTGCTTCTTGATACAACAGGTTCAGATGCCCAATTCATTTCTCTTCCGAGCTTTCATTAGATATTCACTCACTGTTGTTTCTGTATTAATCAGGATCTTCTCATGCCTGCAGATATCTGAAAAATTCATGGAGAATTGAGCTGCATCAAGTAAAACGTCTAAGCAGATTAATAAAAGGCTGAGAACCCGAATAGACGTTTTTGCCGAGTACCTAGTTCTTTTAAATGGCCGGTGTGACCAAAACTCAAAAGGAAGGAAAAGTGATACCAGCCAGTTATGTACACTCGTGCAGCAGTTCCTAATTTTCTACCACAAATGCAGCAATGTAGGCTACAAAAACCTGCTGAAACAGGAGTCTTCTTCTGTTACTCATCTTTTTACCTGGTTGACGGGGCCTTCTGGCATTATTGGACTGGCATGCCGAAGCTCCTCTCATTACCTGGTCTCACACTTCTTGTGTGCTAAGATGCATTATCAATTCAAAGGAAATTAGCCTTTTGAAAAAAGGCTAATTTCCTTCCCATTTTTTTTATTAGCAAAATTAAAAATGTATCGACATTTTGAAAATTGTATGTGCATATTACTGGTAAAGTGCGGCCATCTTTGTTTGTGTTTGACGTCACGAGACCCGGCAGGCAATTGATGTTTATCAAGCAAAACATGTTTTGAGTAGCCACCCAAATGTGAAAGTAGCCAGCTGAGGCCTGTCTATGCCATTTTATACAGGAATAGTCAAACCGGTTTTAGGAATAAGGGGTAACTGAAAAACATTGTCATGAAAGGCTCACTTTGAAACTCAAGCTAAAGTTGTAGCTTTGCTTTACTTTATCAAGGAAGCAGCCAGTAGTAATACTCTTAGTGCATAGTGTCTCATGAAAGAAGAATATGTACCTACAGAGGATATTCAACAGGGTCACAGGATGAATGCATAATGAAGCCCATACATTTCCGTTCTGCCTCCCTTTAATTCAACCACGCCCTGCATGGGTTAGTCTTCAGTCCTATTAACAGAACTAACCAACAAAGGATGAATCCCTGATTCTCCGACGGGTTAACTTAAAAAAAAATAAAGGAAAGCGAGCCGTTTCCCCGCGGCCACTGAGCGTTCTTTTCCGCTTGGACTCCCAGAGAGGCTACATGAGTGTGTGTATGTCTGGCTTTCACCGCACAATGCAGACAGTCGGACCGGTTTGGCGGTCCTGCAGGGACGTGGCCAACGTGGGAAGGGCGGCATAACCATGATCATATCTTATATCTCATTGGCAAAATCGCTAACTAAATACCATGTCTGGTTATCGCCCTCGTTGGACTTCATCTTTCTCACGCCTTAAGCAGCCGGGGGACCACCACAGAGACGGAAATCATCATGTAACATACAACACGAGTAGTCAAAGCAAAACCCCAGGCGCTCTGACAGGTGGGCGCAGTCCAACGCGTGGGCGACTACCGCACATTGTGCTTCAATTGCACTCACTCAATCATTCACCGTTTCAGATTAAGAAGGAAGACAATCAACACCAGCCCCCGTCTAAAGACTATAAAACACCTGTAAAGTCAACAGGCGTTTCCTATTAAAACAGAGTATGTTCAACTATTTACAAAGAGAAAGAAAAGTCATTGAAACGTGACCCATAAAAACAAGATGCTATTAACGAAAGAAAGCAGAAAACCTCTTCTGAGGCCGCAATGGGGAAGTAGTGGGTGGGCTGACCTTTCTGCCTCCTCATCATCAGAGGCTTCCTTGATCCCCCTGAACACAGCTGGGAGGACACAAAGCACCAGTTAAGGTTCATTTCCATGTCTCAGCCAGCAGAGGGGGAGCATGTCACTGTGTCAAACAAGTTCATCTAAGGGCTTAATCCCATGAAGCCATTCAAAAAGGTAAACGTACAAAACATGTATAAAAAGCAGTGGATTGGTAATATAGAAACACATTTGTTTCTGAGAGGTGACCTAGTGATGAATTAAAGAATGTCGTGGAGTCAATTGCCCCCATCTGTCCATCAATATAACAATATATGCTTTGTGGAAACTCACGGACAAACCCAGACAATTCCAAACGTTCCAATGCCATGAAATATTGCTGTAGGTCATTGTCAAGTCCCACTCTTCCCAGTGCATGCCTGCATGTGTTATTTATTCGCTATGAACCGAGTTACTGTCAGAGTGCCATTAATCCCCAAAGGGAAAGTTCTTGGCCCAGAGGAAGCTAACAAGAACTGTGGGAGGAAATGTCGTACGCACTTCCCCAGCAAGTCAAGTCCGGCATAGGTCAGGTCACATCATGTCAGCGCCCTGCTACGCACTCAGTGCTATTCTGCTTCCCCTTCACTTCCCCTTTTTGCCTTTCTTTCTGTATTATGGCTGAGACTTAAGACGTCGCGTTGCCTCATCTGGGAAATTCCACACTCCTACGCGCACTCCTTGTGATACTCCGCCATTTGATCTGAACGATTGGAGGAAATGAATGTTTACTTTGCGGATTCAGTCGGCAGGAAAACACAACAAAGACTTTCCCAGTGATCACGTGACAAAAAATAAATAGCTTTGAGGACGAAGCTTAAATGCAAGTGTGGCCTCTGTTTTCTATCTATTGCATGCAGAGCATTAGGACGATGTTGATCGGTGCAGTGTTTTGTATCAAATCTAACCAGAGGATCCATGTGGCACGTTGGCCATTATGATTGGACCTTCAGACGACCCCTAGCAGGCCACGGGGTTGTCAGATATTAGCCAGCCACTTAATAAATATGTAACGTGCTTAACCTGCCTCTCTATGGCAGCCTAACAGAAACCAATGTGCCCGGCAGCAGCTTTATATCAACTAGTACAGCAGTGATAGGAACTATAATGATTCATTAATTAGTTTATGATTAGGCCAGCAGCTACTCATTTGCAGAGGAGATCATATAAGATATCTGCTTCGTTTTGGCCACAGCTGAAGAATGAATTGGCTAACTTCAACCATTTCATACAAATGTCACAACAGGATAGAATGGGGAAGGGACGTTTTGGACAGACATAAATGGAAGTGATTCAACTTATGTTTTTAAAAGTGGGAAATAATATCCTTTTGCATCTCGTAGTTGATGTCTAAAGTATTAAATTATGTAAATATATACAAGGAAATGCAACGTTGAAATGATCTGTTTGTTTGTCTTCACGGTGTCTGACTTTTTTTTTGTCTCTGCGCCTCCTGATTGACAGCCTTTGTCTTTAGTCATTGCATCCCCTCGTTGTTCCAGGTGGGAAGCCCACAGGTGTGCTTTGCGGTGAGCCGTCAGCCCCCCTGAGGAGAGGAGGGAACCAGACCGCCGAGCACACAGCGGACGCCCCCCCCACGGTAAGAGAGGCTTTGACATGGGAGGTAAAACAAATGAAGCCAAACGATTGAACTTATCATCCATTTTCTTGCCTTAATGTCTTAAAAAGTAGCATGTGTATTAATTACAGTGGAACAAATACTATGAAAGTAGCCCCCGCTTCAGTACATGCGAGTCTTTCCAGAAACGATGACGCAGCACAATGTTTCCGTCTGGGCTGATGAAATATTTACCACCTTTGTGCTCGTTTTTGTAGGATGGAGAAAGTTTTGTACACAATTATGGTGAGTACTTGTTTATCTGATTACAGCCCCACTTTGACCAAAGGCAGTTTGTGAGACACCGTCCAAAAACATTTCACGTTTTAAAATCACAGACATTCAAATGCACACACACATTATGTGTGCCTGTATACTTACACACGTTATGTAAAGTGTAAATGTTACTCTGTTGCTGTAAAATGATTTCCCCTGTACTTTGCATAAGCGGTATCCTGTTTGCTGATTAAGCCGATGTTGGAGTCATGAGTTGGTTGAAAGCACCGGCTGCGGCTGTCTAATGTTTCTAACATGTTTCTTAACTATGCACGTGAGGCCTACCGACGTGACACTGCGCAGACACACTGGCAGAAACTCTGTATCAGCAATATCGATGCCGCTTAACCTTCCTCTTGTGTTAGCTTTCTGTTACCATCCCTTATGTTAACGGGTCGGTTTTGTCTTAACTCAGCTGTAAAATACACTAAAAACAATTATCTATCATCCAATTTGTAGATGTTACAATGGTTAATATTATTAAAATAAAAAAGAAACAAAACAGATTCATTTGAGAGATGTGTTCTAATACCCTTCAGAAATAGTCAGGTAACATGGGCCAAAACCGACCCGTTAACATAAGTGATGGTAACAGAAAGCTAACACAAGAGGAAGGATAATTGTGGGCTTTTTGTCACTTCCTGATGACACAGTTGCATCTGTGCAGTCATACAATTATTCTCGACTATAACAAAAACAAAGTAGGAGTGAACAACCAAAACAAGCTGACTGCCACCTACACTATCCATTGAATGACTAGGAGACACAACAACCTTACGTTTATGTATATGATTCTACTGAGGTTAATTTTACAATCGTTCAAAATTGAAATCAAGGGGTATACTGACAAAGAAAAGGCCCAGAGGCATGGTAACAGAAAGCTAACACAAGAGGACGGTTAAACGTTGTGGAGGAAATAGACCCATATCGGCCTGTGAGGATTTCATGGGAATAAATGAAAGAGACGTAGTAGACGATGAGCGTTCTCCCGGCGGCTGCTCCCTGGTTGGTGTCTACTGATGATACACCAACACGCCTCACGCACGCCTCCCTTGTCGTGTTCAGAGAACAGCGCTCCTGAGCCGGAAGCCGTTCCAGAGCAGAAGGAGGAGGTCCCCCCAGCCGACCACGCCGCTGCAGGAGCCCCCTCCGGCCGCAGGAATCCCCCCGGGGGCAAGTCCAGCCTCATCCTGGGATGAATCCCTGCCCAAGCCCCCCCACCCTCCCCTCCGTCCCGCCCTTCATCACTCATCTCTGAACTTGTCTTTTTTTATGTCTTTTTTTTATAACAAAGAACCCCGGCCCGTTCGTCTGAACCGCAGGAACCGTGTCTCGTGTGCAACGGACTCCTACACATCCCTTAAGTGCATTGTTTTGATACCTCTTTTCTGGGAAAAAAAAGGTTTTGTACCGTTTGTTTGTTTGTTTTAGCCAAAGCACTTTATGTATTTCTATGTAAACTGTTCAAAGTCCGCCTCTGCGCCCAGAAACACTGGATGCAAGGATCACACCTCTCATAGCGACAAATCCATTTCCTAATTTTACTGCGAGGGAAAAAGCTGTGAGTGATTGTACGAGCAGTTTACAGAACACGAGCAAATATAGAAGAAAATACACTGTGTTCTGTTTCGACCCAACTTGCATGCACGTCCGGTCTGTAAACGTATGAATGTGACAAGAAACATAACTGTGAAGACTTTTTTTTAAATTGTTGTTATTATTTTACTTGTTTGTACGTTCTTTTTAAATCGTGGAATAATTGTTGTATTGTTGCATGAAGCTGGAATCTTTCTACCGATTATATTATAATCCACTTCCCATGAATTACTGTCTGTGACCTGAAGGGTGCCAACTTATATTCAGATGACTCACTGACAGGTGACAGCATCGGAATAGGCCTTTTTTTATATTGCAGTCACTAACTTTGGATTATTGCAACCCCAGTGCCGGTTTTGAGTGCCCCGTGTTTTTTAGACGTCATATTTACTCTCGTAATAAAGTGTGCCTGTTAATGTGTGAGGCTACAGCATCAAATAAGGTTGGGTTCCCTCAATTGCATCTGGCCCAGAATGAAGGAAACAAGAGTTTATCCATTGCCAGTCAATGGATCAATGGAATGCTGACGGTCCTGAAGTGTTTCTGGTAAAAACCCATCCTAAATTTGACAAGTGACCTTATGACCACTCAGCCTTTTTTTTTAAATTAATTTATTCATTTATTTTCTAACCTCGTCACCCATCTACATGTGTTGATCATTCTGCTCGCTAGAAAGAAACAACAGCCTTTTTGTACAAGTCATCGCCGTGTTATTTTAAAACCAAAAGTCAAGCTCCTCCTGCGTCTGTCTTCTTGAGCCGCCGTGTCAGGAGGAACTACATGTCAGGTTACTCAGGGCCCTCAAGTTTTCAAAGGAACTCGGAATGACATGTTGTTGAGGCTGGACGCTACGGCCGACGTGGGGAGGAGGGTCCGGAGCTAACAGGGCCCGGACCGGAGTGCGATTTCGTGAGGAATTGGATGTGTGGCGGGGGGGCGTGACTCTCACGCTCAATGCGTGACACTTGAGAGCCCTGGGTTACAGTATGTGTAGTTCCTGTGGCGTCTGCTTTTGAAACGTGTAATGATGCAAGACGAGCCTGTTGTTGTTTTTTTTGCATCCTGTGACAATTCCCTTGTCCCTTCGCTGGATGTTGACTTGCTGCAGAAATTTGAAATCAAGAAAAATGGCACAAGTGGAAATTAAATATCAATTTTGACCGTGTGTGTGTGTGTGTGTTATCTGACTTAGACACTTTACGGTTATGATTGTTCCTCAGCTCATTGAGGAAATAACTCCAAGAAGACATTGTATTCTAAGAAGATATCATAGATTTCAATGAAGCCTCGTACTGGCAACATTTAGGATTTTTTAACTTTAGTCAACTTAATGGCCAGTGTGTTGTTGACACGTTCGTATGGGTTCGTGGATATTGTTTCATGAACACACCGGGAACAAAATAACCTCTCCGTGATTTATTTGTAAAGAAAATTAAGTTAAACAGGGTAAAGCAGTAAATCGCAACTGCACATTTTCATTAAAAACACTCTCAGCCTCAGTTGACCAGCTTTGTTCCGCCCGCCTCCTCTCCGGCCAATCCGCTTCTCCAACCGCCGATCTGCTCATTCCGAAAGTGAAAGTAAGGAAGCGGACCCGAGGACTCGAGCTGTAAAGCCCGCAATTTAAACGTTGACCGCAAACTGGAGCAGTCGCATCGTGTAGGAGCGTGTATGGTGAGTTTATCGTTCGTTGGGCCTCTGTTGTTGTTGTTGCTGTTGTTGTGTTAGCAGTATGCCTCGACAAATGTGCGTTAAGATGGCGAGGCGTTCTCGACAACGTGGATCATACACAAGATGTCAAAACAAGCAGGGGCTTCCTTGGTTAATGATTGCCGATGATTGGTCACTATGTAAACGTGTATTTGGGGCAGCAGGTACAGATTGCAGTAAATGAAATGTAGACAAAGGAGAGTCACACGCAATACAGTACATGTATTCACTGCTTCAGCCCCTCATTAATGGGAAGGTCAGCCCAACTGTTTGTTCTAAAAATCTAAACACTAATTTTGTGGCAACAAGGTTTGTTAATCTTGGTTTTAAGATTTTGCAATTGCAGAGTTTGGCCTATGGAAGGCAACACAATCACAGAGCAAAAGGCCAACCCCGACATGTGTCTCATGACTTGTACAAAAGGCTGTTGTTTCTTTCTAGCGAGCAGAATGATCAACACATGTAGATGTGTGACGAGGTTAGAAAATAAATACATTTAAAAAAGGCTCAGTGGTCATAAGGTCACTTGTCAAATTTAGGATGGGTTTTTACCAGAAACACTTGACATCTATGACGTCCCACACTGTTTACATTACATTACATTACAGGTCATTTAGCAGACGCTTTTATCCAAAGCGACTTACATTACACTTTAAACCCATGGCTTTTTCACATTTTTGCCTGGGGAGCAATTAGGGGTTAAGTGTCTTGCTCAGGGACACTTCGACATGGAACATGGGGCAGCCTGGAATCGAACCACCAACCTTGTGCTTCCCAGCACACCTTCTCTAACCCCTGCGCCACAACGACCCATTTGTGGCCATGTTTATGTATGATTAGTGTCAGTGAGTGTGAAGGCTGTGTGCTTTTACTACGTCGCTCAGGAGGCATAAAGGCTGAATGTTTTTACAGTTATGTGTAGTTCTTGGATCATTAAACTGTCAAATGGACGGGTTGACAGTATTAACCTCCTCTGCAGTTCCTTTACCTCCCGTCAAGCTCCAAGAGCTGGAGACAAAGCTGTCACACTCCTTGACACCGTTGTCATCTTTCAGGCTGAGAAAAGGACTATGATGGAACGCGTACCTTGTGATCACTGACTTTAAAACAATGCATTATCTATCAATTATGGCATATTCTGATACTGTTCATTAAAAATCAATGTTGGTGGTGGATGTCTGTTTTAAAAAAATATATGTCTTTTAGCACATGTCTAAGTAAATGCAGCAAACAACAACTTTTCAAACATTTTGTTTTTAAATGCAAGATGCACTACGAGCCTGAACAGGTTCTGCATGTGTGCAAAAAAAAGACAGCTGATTAAGGAGATAGACCCACGCAGCCACATCAAAATGACTATCTCAAACTTCCTGATTTTCATTTCATCCTCTTCTGCGTGGTCAGACAACGCTGGAGGTGCACGCCCCGGATAAAATAAGACTATACAATTGCAATGGATGGCTGTATGTGACATGTCCTGCATGGCACTGTTTATCCACATTTGTCCATTGTTCTTTGGGTTCTCCTAAAGCAGACAAAAGCAACCATACACTCCCTCTACTTTCTCTTTCAGAATGACAGAATGTTGATTTGAATGTGCGGGCAACATTCTAGGTTAAAGTAAAACACTTAAAGTCGTCCAACAGATGTCGGAAGAGGTTCCACATTTTGAAAAAGTTATTTAGTCTCTTTCTCGTTAATATATTTTATTTAATGGGAAAATGATCTGGATAATAATGAAATGATGACTGTAATAATAATTACATAATCATTTTCTCTATAACATCTGTGGGATGCACATCCGCCTTGAACAATGTGTCGAGGACCTCGACTCCCTTTGCTGTGCAGCTGCAGTCACCAACAGTCAAAACTCCACCATTAAAGCTTTGGAACCACATGACTAACCGGTTTAGTGTCTGTTTGGGATAACCGGTGTTATGGCTCAGGAGCTTATTTTCCTGAAATTGCCGTGACATTCCTTTCACTCTCAGTTTTTGCACAGGCCCCCATGGATCTGTGAGGTCATAAAATAGAGAATAAAAAAAAGCTTTCAAAGATCTAGAGGTTCAAACTAGGATACGTTTTTCAGTCTCTGGTGGTTGTAAGGAAACCAGACAACTGACCACGGCGGGTCGGCACACGCAGGCATTATTGATTATTCCCGTGTAACGCTGGTCATTTAAGTTTGTCAGTACTGTGTCCCATCTGCAGAGTGATGTGCGTCCTGAAACCCCAACAACGGCTTTTACATCCAAGTCTGACGTAATCAGTCTTGCACAAACTGGACAAAACACGATTGCAACACACTCAGGCACGGCACATTGCTTTTGTTTGATTTCAAGGTGCGATTATCATAGTCGATGTCATAATCAGACTACATTGAACTTTTTCAAATGTATGACTAACTGTGTTTCCTCTAGGTTTCCACCCTTCGGCTTGCGCTTTCTCTTTCTGCTGGTGGGAGTGTACCCACCTGTGTGTGTGTGTGTGCGATACAGAGAAGGATTGTAAACGTGCGACCATGTAAAGACCGAAATGCCCCCTGTTATAATGGTAGGGGGAAAAAGTGGTGATGTAGCACAAAGTTAGTTAGTTAGTTTAGTTAGTTAGTTTTTTTAATGGGTAGTTGCCAGTTTTCACAATAAAATACTGAAAAAGAATAAAGTGTACAAAAATATGGAACTTAAAAAAAACAATTGTATTTTATATTAGATTAGATTCAACTTTATTGTCATTGCACAGAGTACAAGTACTGAGGCAACAAAATGCAGTTTAGCATCCAACCAGAAGTGCAAAAAAAGAGATTCTCGTGCCTCTAACACACTGTTCTACAGCGTGACGTTAAGGAGTAAGAAATAGATCCTTGAGTTAAAACATCTGTATGTGTTTGTTACATATGTTCCTATCAGCACATAAAGAATTGTTTTTTCTGTCATTTCAGGTAAACAAACATGGCCTCAATTTGCGTCCTCCTTATTTTGACCGTCACCATAATGAGCATAGGAAGTGCAAAGACAGGTAAATTCAGTCTGAATCAGAGAAGTGGAAGTATGGAGGGCTCTTTGCTGCTGATATAACTTCTTATATTCTCTTCTCCAGGAGATTTTTCAACTGTGCACTGCCAGAAGGAAACGCTGGGACAGTATGGCGGTCAGTCGCTCCTGGAGTGTGTTGTAAAAACCCCTCCTGACACAGAGATTGATAGCTTCACCTGGAAGAAGGACTCCCGTACCCTGCTGAGTGTCACAGACAGAGTTACTACAGTGCAGGCCCCTGGGTATTTGTTTGTGACGCCTTCTTCCTGGAACGGCACAAACATGACGGTGTCCCTGCGCATCATCAACACCGAAGTGGAGCACGAGGGACTCTATGAAGTCATGGTGTTGACGGACCGCGGCGTCTGCAAAGACTCCACCACACTTCATGCCACAGGTGAGAGCCTCCAGTGTCCACGGCGAGGTGACCAGTCTTCATCTACGAAACCGATCCCAACCAATGTAAAAAACAATCCATGACTACAGTTGATTCTTTAAACATTGAAACATTCTAGTTACAAACCGATAACGTGCTTGAAATATTTTACTTTTGTCTTGTTATTATTTAGAGATCAGGGGACTTTCCTGACACGTTGTATTGCTATTTCGCTTTCTGTCTTTATGTACTTTCAGTTTTATTGTTACAAGTAATCCTGTCGAAAGTAAACCGTTGCAAGTCTTTGTCCGTCTGTCTCACCACATATCTTTACTTTTCGAAGTACTTTTCAAAACAATGGCCAACTTTATTTATAGTTGTCACATGGTTGACGTCACGGTGCATTGTTCACTCAATGATGGTCTTTTTCATGAACTCTTTTCAGCCAAATACATGAAACCAACAATCCACTCAAACCCTGAGGCCATGAATCTGACTTGTAAGTCTGATGGTGGCTACCCAGAAGGCACACTTCGCTGGTTCGGCGGCAACGAGGAGCTCACAGCCTCTCAAATGAAGGCGAGCCAGGGAGAAAATGGTCTGTTTCAGCTCTCGAGCACGCTGTCTTTACGAGAAGGATCCTCTGTGTCCACCTACACCTGCAGGGTGTTTAACGCCAGCGGTGGCAGAGAGCAAGAGACCCTATTTCCAGTGCCGGACCCAAAAACTGCAGGTATTTGTCCCACAGCGATTTCAACCAATTTCCATGTGAAGTCAGTTACTAAAACTACCTCAAAATCCACTATAACGAGACAGTTCTGTCATGTGAGCATCTGATATCTGCTATGTTTCCCAAAACAACCTCATAAAGAAAGAAAACGCCACACCCCTGATAAGACTGTGCCTCTCGACTTGTCTTGAGTTCATTTAGTCTTTGTTGATAGCAAAACTGTATCAACAGTTTCAATTTGTCACTGCGAACACTGCGAGTGTTAAAGAGAAAATGAATGTAAGTTGCGGAAGTATTTCAGGGGGGAATTTCCCATCAGTGCATGTACCCCTCATTTCTACTCTATTTGGTCCCTATAAGAAATAAAGCATGAATAAAAATCTCAATTGTTCAATGTGATTGATACAGAAAAAGTGGAAGGAGAGCGGCGGAAGGAGCTGGATCCGCCCACCAAAGTAGTGGCTCCTGTGGTGGTCATCGGATCGCTGATCGTAGGGTTGCTCATCGCCGTGATGCTTTACATAAGGCGATCTCAAAGTGAGTACCCGCACAGGCCCTTCTTTGGCTTTCGGTTAAAATGAACCAAGAAATCAGTTATTGCCCTGGAACACAAGTAATAAAGGTACAAAAGAGATAAGGAAACGTCGCTGGTTCATTTCAGTGTTTCCATCTTTCTCTTAAGACACAAGATTGCATCACAAACACGGTGTCAGGCTTCACAAATGCAGCCTACATCTCGTTTCCATGGACATGACTTAATATATATTGCAACACAGCGTTTTATAAAGGCTAAAAAGTCAGTGTTAAACAGCCAGCTGCTCTGTTACATTGAAGGAGGTTCCGAGTTCTTCTTCCTCTTCATACTTGTGAACTGTGCAAGTAGTGCGTAGTGACTCGCTGTGTTACTGATGCAACACAACTCTGCAGTACAACTGCGCAACTACTGTAGTACTACTATTCATATTTGATCATGAATTAAAATACTGTATTTTTATTGATTTCAAAATATTTTCCCATTATTATTTTATTATTTTATATTGCTTTGAAAATATCCACCTTAAACTACTGAACCTATTAAGTATTCAACCCACGCAGCACTAGATTACATTCAAGCCGACACCTCAGTTGGAGGAGGTTGACAAACCTGTAGACAACACCTGGCGAGAAGCCATATTATTTACGATGGGAAAACACACACTGTTACACTGTAAAATCAAGACGGGCAGGTCCGTGAACTGCTCACAGAGATTTGTTTCGATGGCACTTGTAGATATTTGATTTTTATTCTCCCATTGTTGTTTTCACAGCGGCTCGAAGACAGTCCACAGCACCCCTTACAGGTACGTCCATCTTTGGACAGACAATCGCTTCTGCTCTGGTTTCAACTTTGTCTCTTTCTTAGAGGTGTAGAGAAAGATTCTGTCTATGGATTGTTCCACCTATCAGCTACATATCTGCTCATGTCCTTCTGGCAAATTAACAAGGGGCTTAAATGGCTGAAATCTTCTTTTTTCAAACTTTGGTGGATGTTGAATTTTTGTGTCTATTTTTTTAATAGTAAGGTCGGTGGCATGAGAAACAACGTGAAATCAAACTCACTCCCTTACATACAGGGCTCTGATCTCATTCCAACCCTGTTGAGGCACGTACTCCTCCTGTGTTTTAAATGTTAATTCAGTTGGAGCACATGTTGATCACCAACCAGGGGAACCTAACTGACTGGGGATGAATGCAACTAAACGTATCACTGTGCTTTGAAAGAGTCTGGGTACAAACACAGGATTTAAATGATAGCGTTTTTTTCTTGGCTTTTGGGAAACTGGGCTTGGTCACTAATCCCAACCCGACTCTTGTTTTAGACATTCACCTTAAGGGACCAGCCTCTGCTCCCATGTCACAAACTTGCTTCATGTGGTGATGGTTTGACGCCCCCTCCCATAGTAAACTAATTTAACGTCTTGTGATTTCTTCCAGGGGGCCGCAGTGAGGCCAAAGAGTACAATGGAGGTATGTCTGAATGACGAGTATGTTCACTGTCCCACTAAAACAACTTCAAATACACTCTGCGACAAAGAAATCCATGCTTTGATATGAAATTTTTTTTGCAGATGATTTGGTATACACAGACAACAATGCGTGAGGTAATTATAATGCTGTCTCTGATATTCACCCTCTTCAAATCAACATCAGGATTCTGAATGTTCTGTCTCTTTCTCTCTCTGCAGGAGTCCGTGCGAATTTTGTCACCATTTTACTGGAAGACACTTCCTTATATGCTAATCTACATTCTATCGTTGTACTTTGCCCACAGCTTTGTATACCGTATAACCAGGGATAACCTTTGCTACTGTGATTACCCGAAAACACGCTTAAATCAACTCAATCTAACAAAGTCATTTGACTGATTTTGAATCTGTGATTAAATGTGTGATTGAACCTGTGATTCTCTGGCGGCTGCATGGAGCGAAATGTGTAACATCACCAGAAACCGAAAGAGAACGTTGAAGAACGATCAGATGAAGGATTAACTGTAGCCTTTGGCAGCTTGGCCGAGTATCTCAGGGCAGGAAAAAGTTGACTTGTATTATTATGGGGGGGGGGGGGAAGTTGTGTGTGTGTGTGTGGGGGGGGGGGGGGGGGGGGGGGGGAGGGGACCTATTAGTCAGATTTTTTACTTTTTGCCTAGCCTAGTTTTGAGACTGTGCTGAAAGAAGAGACTTAAACTATATTTTGCTGTCAACAAATCCCACTTAAAGAAAACCGTGGGTCTGACTAAAGACACTGGTGGGAATACAGGTGCTAATTAGAACCATGTTGAAACTCCAGCTGATCCTGAGACAAACCCCTTTTGGGTTGTTGATTGAACCTTTTGTAAAAACTAAAATCAACCGACCAACTTACCCATAAACTGCCTGAGAATAGTCAAGCGCAGCAAATCTCATATCCTTATTCTAACCGCTGAGAAAGTACACATGACAGATACTGTTCTCCGATTGCTTGCCAATGGAAAACTGTGTGTGGCGGAAGGAACTAGACTTATGTTCCACTAGCTGTCGTTCATGAAACTCACTGTGTTACTTTTGGCAGCAGTAAGCAACTTGATTGGCATATTAAAACTCAGGTGTTCCTTTGGCACCGGGGGTCATGGAAATTGGCAGGACATGTTGTTTCTAAACTGAGTCATGGTTAATAAAGGAGCAGAGTTAATTATTTACTCTATGGGTGTTTTGTATCCTCTACTGTAAATCTGTGAAAATGATGTTCGTGTTTGTTGTTTCTTTTGGATTCATATGGATTAAAAGCTCATCTGTGACTTATTTTCATGTAAATTAAATGTTTCCTGAAATGCAAATGAACACATTTAGTTGAAAAACTGAACCGTGTGAAAGATTCCTTGCCTGTGTACTATTAAAAAGATTCTCACTCGACCTCGTTGTAAAACCATCAGGAGACATAGAGTCTAGCCTACTCAAGCCTACTAAGAGGTTTTTATCTTCGGAGCAGGACTGTATAGTTGGAAGAACAGGGGGGTTCTGGGAAAAACCAGCAGTCGGCCTCGGAGACAATCATCTTTACCACCACAACATTGTAAACATCGACGCACATGCATCTTGTTTATCAGATGACACAGAACACCACGTGCCTCTAAGTGAGCACAGACTCTCTGTCGTATGAAGGTAGAACAATAATGCAGTTTCAACATTTCCCTCCTTTTTGTTTAACTATAACTACTAATTAAAAGGAAAACATAAAAGAATGTTTACTGCATAAAACCAAGACATAAAAAAAGAATCTCACATGAATTACTCTCATGTGTCTAAAACCATTAAAAAAAAAAATATATATATATATATATATATATATATATATATATATATATATATATATATATATATATATATACATGTATATATGTACATGTATATGTATATGTATATGTAAGATGTATATGTATATACATATACATCTTACCACACGCTGTCTACTGTTTTTGCAAATGCAGATAATAACTTTATTCATAATTGTATCACTTATTTCTGACTAATAAATCATTGTTTCATAATCCGGAGTCAGAATGTAATTCAAATGAGGCCATTGAGGCCTCCATAGAATCGGTCAGGGGATCGGGATGATTCCCCTCAGCCTGCTGCAGTTTTCCCCAATTCTCTATCCCTGTTGAGAATTCTGTTCGGTTCAAACTGGTTATTCCTGGTGGCATCTACCCGACGCTGCTGTAGTCCTCCAATATCCTCCAATACCAAGTATTAGAGGCACCCAAAGCATTCCAGCATTCCAAGCGGTGCACCCGCTGAGATCATAATGAACAGTGATAACTGCCGAGCTGTGAGTCCAGCATTCTACTGACAGGATGTGTGTGCATTTAGTGTTTTATTGTGTATTTGGCAATTAATGGCTTCTGATTCTGACTCTCTCTGCTGGTTGACTGTTGGTCTGCTCGGTTCATGTCAAGCTCTCTGTGGCCTTCATAGCCAATTAGTATTCCTTCTGTCCTGTTGACTGTGGATAATAAGATGATATTTCATGTAGAAGTAGTAGAAATCAGATACATTGTAACTTGTTGACACAGTGTGTGCTGTTTAAAACAAAACATTCCTTCTCGTATCTCAACCCGCCTACTTTCTTCCGTTGAGGCTTTTTGCTTCCCTTTTGTTATAAACATTTGAATTCATCTGGAACACTTCAGTATGACTGTCAGATAAGAGCCTTTGAGATCTGGCACGACGGACCAACTGAGTTAGAAAAAGAGAAGACACGTCTGCCACTCGATTTCTCAGCTGGAAAATACTTTTTTTTGTATTACAGAATGTGTAGCCCCCGAATCAACCAAAAATGATAAAGTTTCCCTTGAACTCGCACCATAGTGAGGTATATTTTCAAATGATTTTCCTCAGATGTGTGTGTGTGTGTGTGGATGCATGCAGTTACTGCAGAAAGCATTTCTTCATTGCAGGCGCTGTGTGTGTGTCACTTCCCTTATCCTGTGAGGTGTCAGCATGGATGCCGTCTCCCCCTCACATACAGCCTCCTCCTCCCCCGCCTCGCGTCAATGAGGTTGTGTGTTCTGGTACCTGGTGGTGGTGGTCCTTGCTGCGGATCGGCATGTGGGACCTGCGGTATTGGCGGACATGTGATGAGAAGAGGGCCTCCAGCATCTGTTAGACTCGGACACGGGGCAGAAAAACAAACACGGTCATCTTGTCCACAAACCTTTGAATCTGGTCCGTGAGACACTGTGGTGGTAACGCACAATAGTTCTTCAGCCATTCGTTTTCTTTCCCTACATTCACATTCATTCCATACAAAACATTTTAATTTTTGATATTTCTGTCTCATCACATCCCTCCGCTTCCTTTTTACATGTACACCACCCATCTTTCAGGCGTGGTAAAGTATATTTATTCCTTAAAATATAGTTGTCACTATAAGTCTTGATTTTCTTTTACCCTGGAAAAATACAAGTTAAAACCCAACCGAAAAAATTGGTTAATAAATATAGGTCAAAGGCCTCGAATACCTATTTTCAGACTATTAGTATTATCTGAAATACGATACCGTTCCTTGTTTCCCTGTTCACAATTATGATTTCCCAAACCATATATTGCTCTTTTGGTTAAGGCCACAATTCTACAATTTTAGAGTGTTAGTTTGAATACAATCGTTAATCCGCAAATTGCCCCAGTCTTCCCCAGTAAAAAGCTGCATAATGATGAGAAGATCAAAAATACTTTACAATTACTTTTATCAATTCATAGACATGTTTCCATAACCGTAAAAAGAAAATTTGTCCTCGTTAGAGATCCAATTAGCTAATTAGCTAATGTGATCTTATTTCTCCAGTTTTCTAAATTCACGTCTTCGTAATCTGTTATCACCCGTTACAATTCAGAACATCCCGTTTGAAATCAGAATATCAACTTCTTACTCGATTTGAGTGAAAATCTTCCTTGGTTTGATCGTGTTGAAGGCCCCTCTCTCTGCATCTGATGAGGTTTGGGGCAGAATCACTTACTTTGGTCGATCCTGAAGAGGAGAGGCCACTTCTGACACCAAATTGTTGTGGAAGACTTTGCACGGACAATCGGTAAATAAGAACAAGGCTCTGATTCAAATATGTTTTTCTCTGTTTATTTCCTTGCAAAGGAAAAAAAGGTCACAACAGCTACGTGCTCAGTAGACTTCCTCCTCCCACAACAGGGCAGTTCTTATACATGCAGGTGGCCTCCAAAACAACTTGTTGTGTCTCTACAGCCAGGAGACAAGCATCTTATCAGTGTAAGACACTATAGCTCAATTCTTTTTCATAGCCTCGCCATTCCAGCACTTGCAATTTAAAACTCCCTAACAAACCCTCCCAAATGGGGGAAAATAAGGAAGAAATCTAGAGAATCTAGAAGATCAAAACTGAAAACCTTCTCCCAGGGGTTGAGCATTACACCACAGATGTCATGTGTACAGCATAAACAATTACTCATAGGAACTACAAGATGTTTAAATCACAATACAGAAATGAATCTGCTATCTACAATCATTCCACAGGGGAGTATGATGTGGACGATCATCTTTAAGACCCTCGGTCCACGGTGAATAGAACACCCGGCCAAATTTAGATTTATTAATGTACTTTTATGAACTAAGCATCACAACCTCAATCTCTAGTTTTCCCAAACCGACCAAAGACTGTTACCCGTTATGAAGAAAAACACTGGTCCGGTTTCACTAGTAAACGGATCTCAAGCGGATTCTGGCCGCTCAACCAACCAAACTAATCCTGTATCAGACGAGGGGAGAGGACTTTGAAAAGAGTCCCAGACTGCGCACAGTTTAAGGGACCCAGGTGCTGGTAGTCGACATCGGAGACGATCATCTTTGCCACCACAACATTCGACGCACAAACATCTTGATTATCAGATGAGCTAGAACACAATGTGCCTGTTGTGTTTTCTGTGGAGTTTTAATTCATGACGTTTGTTATTTCGGATTTACATGTGTGATCAAATGTTTACCTGCCAGAGCTATACATATAAATGCCAGTATTATATGGAGAAACTTTGAGGTAGCAGGGCAATAGTGTAGTGTCCCTTTAAGAGAGGAGTGTGCTGTGAGGTCACGTGACCAGTGTTTACTGAGTGAAAAGGAAGCGCGATTCACTTAGTTGGTAACGACTTCCAACCCGGTGTGCAGCCACTTGGTAAGCTCTCGTAATGTTCAATGTTGTCTTGTCTCCTTTATAATGTACGCTTCATGTTGTCTGATGGCACCTTAATGTGTTGCTGCTGTGTTTACTTTCTTTGGCTTATATGTTTAAAGTATGAAACACGGACTGGTATGTGACGTAGGTACTTCCTGGTTTGCCGTGGGGCATTTTGGGAGTTGTAGTTTCCTGCTAAGGAAAGACTGCATGCATTGTGAATGTGGTGCATAATGTTTGAATGTGTACATGCCAATAACGAAACTGATGATGGTGGATTATAGTATATTAATAATGTTTGTTTATATTTTTGAATAATGTTATTAAGATAAAGAACTGGGTAGCTGTGTTGGTTGTGGTGTGCACATGGAAATTGAAGTATTGCATTTCTTATTATTCCAGGTTTTTTACCTGGTTCCCCTTTTTAAGAAATAAACAAACAAATGAGGAATCTTGAGTTAAGTCCTATGTATGCCGGGTTGCCCTTTCCGTGGGGAGAAAACGGAACAGTGCCTCTATGTGAAAGAGCACAGACAAAAATAACTCTTCATCTAAATGTTTTAATCCCAATTCAATTCACCTCAGTCCTGCCATCCAGTGGACAACTAGCATTCTAACATGTTGGAGCAGAGCGGCAGAGGAGAACATCATTAAATGTGTGGTACTGAACCAACCTCACCTGTTGACACAAGTAATCAAGGTGCCCTTGAATTGGTATTGATCCGCTTAAAGTAATACAATCTAATTCAAAAGAGGTGCAATTAAACCACACCTCCATGAAGGTCATTGTTTTCAACTTTCGTTGAAACTGTTTCACTGAAAATTGTAAATTGTTTTTACTGTGCGGTTAAATTTCATTACACTGACATGCGTTTTCGTTAATTTGTCTACCCCAGTTATATTTATTAGAGTTACATAAATAGAACATCCTTATCGCAGCAGTGCAAACAGTAAGAGTTGCTCATCATGGAAGCTATATGTTTTTAAAGGGTTGATGCATGCAGACAACATCAGGGCCGAGAGAGTTTAGTAGCTTTAGCTTGTCTACGGGCTGTGCTGATTGCATGCGGAAGTGCAGATTATCCTCTCAGTTGGAGTACATCCAAGTTCCACGTGCCTCACATGTAAGTTTATGATGAGTTCCAAATCTGCAGGCCAGATCTATTCAAGTCGCCGTCAATGGAGGTGCAGAACAGTGTCATAAATCTGCACATGACTGTAGACTTTCAAGTTTATTGTTTGAAAAGATAAGACATTCCTTTATTACTCTCACAATGGGGAAATCCACGGGATCCCGAGAGCTAAGTAAACAGTGCACACAAGACACATGATGAATAACAACAAGACAAGAGCCACAAAAATAAATAAAAAAATATATAGTAATAATAGACAGAAGTAAAAATAAAAAAACAAAAACCACAGTAACTAAATATAACACTAGGAACTAAATAAATATGTACACACCTCAGTGGTTATTGCGCCTTGTCATTTTTATTGCACATTTGTTTAAGTGTTGTTCTGTGGTGTTTTCAGTGATCTAACGTCCTGTGGTTCACTGGGTGCACAGTCGGTTGTGCAGCCTGACAGCAGCAGGGCGTCCACCATGGGGTGGGAGGTGTTGCTCATCAGGGATGATGGCTTAATCCTCATCCTCCTGTCTCCCAGCACCTCCACCGTGTCCAGTGGATGCCCCAGCACACTGCTGGCCTTCTTGATGAGCTTGTTGAGTCTCTTCCCGTTGGGCGCCGATATGCTACTGCCCCAGCAGACCATTCCATAAAATGGAAGGTGCCGCGGCGGAGTCAAAGAAGGTCCTTCCTTCCAGTGCACCCTGCACCCCAAAGGACCTCGGTCTCCTCAGCAGATAGTCTGCTCTGACCCTTTTTATAGAGCGCACAAATGTGATCTGTCCAGTTTATTGTTCAAGTGAACAACCAGGTTCTTATAAGATCTCACGATCTCGATGTCCGTATCCTGGATGTTCACTGCTGCCGGAGGACAGCGTTTACCCCGACGGAAGTCCTCCTCCAGCTCCTTGGTTTAGAGTTCTGCTGGCACCATCCTAAGAAGATGTTTGTGTTTTTTTTGTTGAAGGCCGCAGCTGAACATTTGTGGGAATTCAGAGCAGATTCGGCGGCAATGTTTGAGTAATAGATTAGTTGTCTGGACTAATTTTGAATGCAAGAGCGTTCCATCAGAGGCTACAGAACATAGAGGAGGATTTTGAAAATAATGTTATTGTTATGAAATGTTGAGCTGTTTTTTTGTCCACTGCCTTCTTGTTAAATTTCTGTTTTTTAAATGGTTTTTCACAGCTTTGTTCCGTTTTGCAAACACCCAAACCCTCCACCAGGGGGTGATCTCAACTCATCCCTAATGGAAGTAGAGTGGACCAGTGTTAGGTTTACAACTTCAGGGGGGTAGTAGTCGGGCAAACGGTTCGGGGGGGGGGGGGGGGGCTTTATTTAACCATTATATTATAACCCACAGAAACCTCTGGGTGTCATCACATCCCTCTCCCTGATCTCCTCCCCCATGAGTTAACGGGTCCCTATTCTATATTTAATTCTCAATTATTGGCCCTCCACCTTGTGACGGGGGTTCTTTGTGTCGGCCTCCTCGTTATAAGACATGGGCTCATGGACTCCCGGTCACCATCCTAAATTTAGGTGTACAATATAATTGTTGTATGTGATAGGAATTTAGAACACATAACAATATTGGCGGTTCTCCCAAAACTGTACATTTTAATACAT